GCAATTATTCGACAAACAATGTTGAAGGACATTCCGGAATCCGACCTATGGTGTGTAGGTTGTCAGGTGTGATGGTATCTAGTTCCAACTAATTTGTTTGACCATTTAATCTTACCGGCAAAATGGTTACTCACAACAGTTAAGGGATCGAGTGAACGATAGGTCAACACGTATTTGAATTCCTCTTAGAACCAGCGGAAGGCTTGTTGTTTTTTGCTTCATTTGGCTTCCTAAATGGTTTCTTATTCACAAAATTTTCGATATTTCCTTATTTCATTTCTCGACGCATTATCACCGGTTTTTTTTCCTGTGATAAGAGCGGTTCATTGGGAGCAAAAATCTTAGACAATCTTTTTTCTGAAATGCCGTATTCAACAACGTCCAATCAAAGGCTAGGTGATCAAGTTGCGTTCTACCTATCCAAGATCCAGGGTTCGACTCTAAGTTGGATTAGACTGCTGATGAGACTAGCAGGGATAAAAATGGTGCGTGATGCCTTACAGTTTCATATTTCACCTTTTCTTTACGCTCTATGCAAGCTTTTGCTCAACAGGGTTGAATCAAATTCACCAATACACCCTTGTCACAGATAGCACAATTCAGGATCTTTTCGATCAACTTACAATCCTTAGAGGGTATTTATAAGATACACGATCTAGTTGTTCGTAATAGTAGCAATATCAAAGTAGTGAGCAATGGAGTAGCATCGCTTGTGTGATTCGCCCTTTATTCGAATCGATGAATAGATACGCTCTGCTACTGTTGCTGCTGCTGCTGTTGCTGTTGAGACCCAACAGATTTAAAACAGTTTTCGTGTATTACGTTTGAATCTGTTTTCTTTACTTCTCGTTTTCTTTACTACAAGTGAACACGATTACCGCCTGTTCGAGTGAGGTATACCCGATAAAGCACATGCTGGACGACGGAGTTTTCTGTTGTGACAAACGATCAAGACGAGTCAGTCTCCAAAACTACTCCATAAATGATGTTAGTCCCAACACCGCAAATATCGTTCACCGATGCGCTCTCACAGCCACCGTGACTCACACATTCGATAAGTAGATCGATTATTGTGGTTTGGAGAGTGTCTAAAATCATGTCAAAACATGGCACAACAATCCACAGTACAAACCCAAGGAATCTCCAAAATCCCAGTTGGTGTTGTTGACTATGAACCAAATGCTGGAACCAGGCAAGCACAAGTGATTGTAGACCCTTTGCATTTACAATTCTGTTAGGTAATCCAGTTCGGAAGCTGTTGGCTACCGGTGACTTGACTCACAAACCATCGCTGTGTATGCATATGCAAATGTCACAAAACCTTTGATTGCAATGACAGTAGCTGTCTGTTTCTTCCTTCCATTCACCGCGTTTTTCGTAGAACGCGTGGTGCGCCGATACATGATACGATTAACCCCTCTGGCTTTAATACATATAAAATGACACTTTTTCCCTGGCGATTGATGAACTTAGACAAAAAGATAATGTTCTTCAATATGCCTTCAAGGGAAATTAATCTTTGAAGTTCGAGAAGATATTTTTCGATCGCTTATCTGTCGTCAAAGGCTGGTTCTATAATTGCCGTCTATGGTCAGGGATAAATCACCGCTCATTTATGAAATGCGTGGACAAAACCGCGTAGCGGTGTTCCGGTAACACTTGGTGTTCCGTCCTGAGAGCCTAAACTTGAGGGTCCAACAAATGCTTCTTTCTTATCATGATCACACACCCAAGAAAAGACCATCCAACTCAATTGACATTTGTTACACCCAAGGTGGAAGGGTACGCATGCACAAAAACGTAAAAAGGTTACGTCATACGTGATCAAATTGTTTACCCGGATGGTATTGCAAAAGAATAACGCGTAATCACACCACATACTCTCAATTACCCTTCCATCCCAACCAACCCAGCGACTCCTATTTGAACGGAGAGGAGTAGAAGGTATAACGTGAAAATTCGAAAAAAGAAGGACTACTTCGTGTAGAGAGATTGTGCCTATACACACACACAGACAAAGAAATGCCCAAGTGAATTCATCTTGGCATTTTGTTGTATATTTTTTCATGACTGCTGTTTCAATGTTAGGTGATGGACAGGTGTGTGTGTG